ACTTCTATTATGGACTGTATCTGGCACAGCGCCATCCGTGTTGTCACTTCAAGCACCAACCTCTCATCCAAGGTCTGTACGGTGTATGGAGTGCAGGTGATTTCGTATTAGCGATACCTACAGAACAGACTAACATCAAAAGCTGTTGAAAGCACCCTAATTGAAATGTGACATGGATCAAAATGTTAAAGGTATTCTGGTGGGCTATAGTGAACAAAGTAAGGGATATAGAATCCTCCATCTAAAGACTGACAAAGTGACAATAAGTCGCAGCGTTTATTTCGATGAGAACCCTTTACCAGAAACAATGATTCTGGGAAGTTGTGAAGTGAATACTCCCAGTGAACCAGCAAAGGAAGCTGAGCAAAGTGAAGCTGCAAAAAGAGTCGGAACAAGAGGTGGAACTCACAATGAATAGGTCAAATTCCATGTTTAATTCTGCTGAACAACCTAAAATTAAAAGATCCACTCGGGCAACAAAAGGAATACCACCCTGCAAGCTGTCATATACTGCTAAGACACATAGCATACTCGAACCAACATCGTGGGAAGACATACAAAAATTACAAAATGCGAATCCAATCAATGGGAGAAAAGCAGCAGAAGAAGAGATAAAATGACTCCAAGAAAATAAAGTCTGGACACTCAAGAGCAAGTTATTATTGATATTCAATATTGCTCATCAGAAGAAATGACTGTGGATGCACTCACCAAGCCATTGCCAAAGGATCGTCACAGTTTCCTTTGAGAGAAGCTAAACATCATATATCAACGCATATGCTGTTGAGAAGGGGTGTTGGAAATGCAACAGCATATACTGTAATTTTGTCTTTTGGTGTGTAGTGAAATGTTAGTTTTCTATATGCATGCTTATCTATGATGCACAGGAAGTTCTCTCTGTATGCTGTATAATGTTGTATTCAGATGTAATATTCTCCTAAGCAAGTAAAACTAAATTCAGCATTCCTCAAGATCTTAGTGCTTCATCTAAACACATAACAGAGATGTAAAATAATATAGAATAGTGTCTCTTTCTCTGGCGAACATAACCTAGGCAGGTGATTGTACAGTAATATAGAACTGTGTCAGGGCTAGTAGCCCTGCATTGTATGTGAAGTAGGCAGGTGTGCAACACAGCCAGGAGAGCCTTAGAGAGGAGGCTTCACAAGACTGATCACACAGATGGAGCAAGCCTGCTGGAGTGAAGAATAAAGTACATAAGATAATACACAGCCAGTCTTGTGATTCTGGTATCTGTCAGAGACCATAGCCAAGTCCTAGACCTCTTTGCAAACTATAAAGCAGATGATTAATAAAGCAGGACTACCCAGTCTGTGTTTGGACAATGAAGGAGCAGCAGTAGACTGATGAGCTCCATCTTGTAACCATGTTCACATGCTTGACTTACAGTACAATGCAACGCCTACTAGTCTGAATGCTGCTGTGCAGGAAAATACAAGCTGATATAAAGACAAATGTACAGAATGTTATGTTATTCTTGATGTTTGTAAAAATAGGTTTAATGGTCTTAAAATATATTTTCTTGTAATAAAGGAGTTCTTTTATGTTTGGAGTTCATCTTTGCATCATTTTAGTTTGAAACAAAAAAATGAATTGACTACAATTTCCCTCAGGACAAAGTGACAAGTTATTTTTCGGGAACAAGCCCATACCCCCTAATTTTCCCCTTCATCACATTTCTTTGCTACACTTCTGATTCCCTCAGGGATGGAAGAGCGCCTCTCATGATGCAATGCTCAGACCTAGGTGGCCAATGGCCAAGTCTTCAAACTGGCACATACAGAGGAGGAAGAAATTAGCCTTGTGGAAAGCTCCAACACTGTATGATGCTTGCATAGATTTTGGACTCCCACTTTCAATGTAGGAACAGAGGTTTGGGGGAATGCCAGAAGATAATTATTAATTGTTCTTGCCTGAATGGACAAAGTGACAGCACACACTGCAAAAAGAGGTTTAGCATGAACTGCTATGCTGAAATCTTCACCTGAGCTATGTCTATTTGTTGCAAATCTCACAAAATGAGCATAGAACAGCTGAAGGTCTACCTCAGTATACCATTAAGTTAACCTGGCTACAAATGATAGGGTACAATCAGGTACTGTTCTCGGTTGGAGACAGACTCTTCTCCACTCTCTCTTCTATAATTCAGAAGCCAATGCAAGCACTCCCACTTGTTAGCATGATCTGACATTTCTACAAGTGTGGAGGGGATTATGAGCATTTAATATATACAGGTGAAACTCGAATAATTAGAATATCGTGCAAAAGTAATGGCAGTAAGTGCTGCAAAAGGGGCCCAAACCAAGTACTGAGTACATATGCATGCTTGTACTTTTCAGAGGTCCGATATTGTTCTATGTACAATCCTTGTTTTATTGATTGCATGTAATAATCTACTTTTTTGAGGTTGTGGATTTGGGGTTCTTGGGGTTTTCATGAGCTGTAAGCCATAATCATCACAATGATGACAAATCACGGCTGGAACTATCTTGCTTTGCATGTAATGAGTCTATCTCATATATTAGTTTCACCGCATAAGTTGCATTAGTGAAATAAATGAACTTTGCACGATATTCTAATTATTCGAGTTTCACCTGTATATATAAGTATAACAGCATTAAACATAGCAGGGGTTAAAACTAATATCAACTTTATGTTGAATATATGTGTATAAATGGACTACTTACATTGACTTTGAGATCATTAAGTGTTTGTATACCTGCATTTTATTTAGTAAGTAAAAGTATTTCACATGTAAAGTTCATAGGGGTACTGACATAGTTCTAAAGAATCAGTGATCTCCTCATCTAAACTTGCCTGATGCCCTTTGCAAGAAGGATCCATTCATGAGCAATGGTCTAGATCGGATCTATATAAAAGAAGCCGCTATACAAAAATGTTCCAGATTTTATCTTATCACCAAAGTCACAATCATAGCCGCTATTAAAGTTAGATTTAGTCTTGTTCAAATCATTATATGTTAATGTCACATAATGTGCCAGAACTACTTTCTTCAAGTCATAGTGAAAGGCCTAAACGTCTAACATAACCTATATGTGTTGAATAATGCAAAATGATTTGGGATTATGGAAGTTTGAAAAATAACAGTACAACTTTTTCAGCCTACCTTCTTATCTTTCTCAAAGGTTGTATGTTCACAAGTAAAACTGTTTTTTTAAGGACACAGAGGGACCCAGATGAGGTGTTGGATTTACACAGGTCATTATACATGCCATTGGTACTGTAAAGTTTCAAAGTTTGTAAAATTCTAAAAGACTGGCAGCTGGTGCCCCAGAAATAATATAACATTTCACACTTGGGGCTCTAAGCACCGCTGGTTCTTCTTCCTTTTTACTAGAGTTGGCTTTGTTTCTTCTTTCCACATTTTACATTCAACAGATTTCAGTAGAGTGTATAGGGGATGTAGCTTCATTAAGTTTGAGGATTTTCAAAAGTCAGGACAAATGTAGAAACAAAAGAACCATGAAGTATCTATGTAAATGATGTCAAGTTCACCAATTAATGAGTTTGCCCAAGCATAAATGTATATCATTATTTATCCTTTTTTAGAAAAGTACCCGTTTTTATGCCAAAACTCTGAGTGCCTGTACCTTTACTGTCTAAGCAGGACCTCAAAAACAGTTAGATCCATATTTTTTACCTTTGCATCTAATCACTTGGGGACCCTAAAATGTTACCCTAGGACCCACATAGAATATGATTTTTAATGACATTAGGAAATTATTTGTGATGATGAAATCCTATCCTTTAGGTAGCAGTACAGTGCTGATACCGTGCTGTCACAATAAACTGCAAAAAGAGTTTATTCATTAATGACTACTGCTAAGAATTGCAGTGATGCTGTTATTTTGTTTACAGAAACATCTAGTGTATTTAACAGCCTCTCTATTTTTCTCTATAAAGCCTTGGCAATGCTCTGACAAATCCAATTATTGTATATTTTGGAAGTAGTTACATTGAGATTACCTCTAATGCCTCTGCATGAAACCAAACTCCTTCTGCCATCGATTCTTGGCACAACTACAAAACTAATCAGAAGAAATGCCTTCTTCACCTGCACATCCTAATCCTATATTAAGCTTGTTATTCTTGTGGCAAGTCACCCATGTCGCCTTTATCCTCCCTTTCGATGCTTATGTGTTGCTGCCTGTGCAAAGCTTCCCCTCCGAGCTCACAGTTAAGTTGATATCAGTATTTCTTTTACGATTTGTCTATCAGACAGCACAGCATTATTGAATGTATTCCTGAGTGATCTGTGACCTATTGATAAGGAACGCAGAAAACGAGCTGGATATTCTAAAACTTCCATGATATACACTAAATCATTCTACTGCCTTTGAATAATTTCTCAATCATTCATATAGAGCTATAAAAATCACAGTAATATTAATTATTTCATACTGCATGTGATTCTTGTTTCCAGCTGCAGATATAAGCCAATAATACCATGTAATAATTAGCAATAAAGTTTTTGTGTACAGCTCATATACTCCCAAGTTTTAAAATAATGCATAGTAGAATTATCATATAAATATACTATAATAGTATTACTGTAATCATAGGAAGTGACATATAGTATGTTTAGGAACAATGTCAAGATCAAAATATTAAACAATTGTTTACATCCGTTGATAGAGTATCTGGTTCACAGGTTTCTTACAGCATCTTTTATGGAATGTTGCAGTGTCATACACTCTACATTGTACATTCTGATGGTGAGTCTACTAGCATAATGTCTGCAGGGTTTATCTTTGCATTCATATATGCACCTGTAATCCATTATTATATGAACTCAATCACAGGGACCTTCTACTAACTAGGAGTTACGTTAGATGGAAATAAGTTGAATATAAAGCAGTAAATATTAGCCATGCAGCACTTTAATACCTGACCTGAGCAATGCATTGCAATAAAGAATAACAGGTTGTTAAAGCCTGTGAGATCTTTAACTCTGGTACCTTGTTCTAGTCGATAGAAAACTTGGTCCATTCCCAGGAGTATGTGTTATGTACACAAATCTTCAAGTTTTATTCCTGCCAAATCATTTCGAAGACAGCGTAGAAAGGGCAGCTTAAAGCCCGACATTTTGGCCATCGTGTTCGGAGAGCAATAAAATGGAAGTAACTTTTCGGTCAGCTTGTATCTGGCGAATGTTAGATGTCATGAGCTGATGCTGCTGCATGTACTGAAAGGCAGAGTCTGATTTCCATTCTATCTCAGCAGCCCTTCGCTTCAATGTATTCCACAGCTGAGAAGCAGTCGTGCAGCTTGTCTGAAATCCTCTTCAGAAGGACATTGAAATTCACAGGCAGTACAGACTTCACAGGGTATTCCCACACCATACACAGCCATGCGTTTAGAAAACGTACCTCTCCCACTTTATTGATTACTGTCAGCAATCAGCTTTTTTTTTCATTCCAATTAGCACTCTTATGCTAGCCAGACTTCACGTTGATTCTTATTTGTGTCCTTCAGACATGACCACATGTCATATAATTGAAAAAAACATATAAGGCATGTCACTTTCTTTTGACTGCCTGACCCTCTATAAAATTAGATTGATAGAACCTAAGGATTGACTGGGCCTATAAACAAATGCCACTCACAATCCTGTAAGCCCGTCAGCACCATTGAACGGCTAGACACACTTAGATTCCAATTACTTAGTGGATATAACATGTATGCAGGGGTGGATCAGTGCAGAGTGAGAGATGGCTCCTGGGCCTAACATCCCCTGGAGAGGACAAATCATGCTGACTTGTATACTGTTTAATAATGCTGTGCTCTTTGATTGATGTATATGTAAACCTACAAACTAATCGACGACTGACTAGGTTGTCCAACTAGTGAGTGATTTGTTTTACTGAATCCATATTGATCATCTGTCATTATGCAACTAAAGACACTGTGGAGGGGGACGTTTTCCTTTCTCTTTTTAACCCAAGATGTTTTTACACATTGATACGTTAGTGAATCGGTGGGTGTGAGTGTTTTGTTACTACTTCTTTTTGTTTATCCTCTTTTTGGGTAATGCTCTTGCTTGACATAAAGCAGTTGCCAAACATTCTTGTTCAAATTTCCTTTAATCAAATTTCCTGCCAGCTAAATAGCAGATTTAAAATGTTTATGAAAATATTAAAGAAGACCTCTTGGTAAAAATGTTATTAACCCTTGAAGTGGGGCTACCCCTAGGTAAGGAGAAAAATAACAAAGATATACGCACCCGATCCTCTGAGCCGGGTGACAGCGCTTCTTCCTTCCTGTCTCCTCTTACACTGCAATGATAGAATGTCCCTTGGTGTCCTCACTCACGGCTCCCTGCAGGGATTCCCCCCCTCCCCTGTCAGATCCTCTAGCGCTGACTGGGAGAACGGACGGGGAGGGGGCGGGTACAGCTGGCTCTGCCTCTAGATAGGCAGAGCCAGCTGTCACTCACGCAGCTGGGTGGATCCAGACAGTAATGTCGGGATCTGTCCCCGCTGCGGCGTCTCAGTATACCGCGAGCTGTAGCGCGCTGTATACTGAGCTTTGGGTGACGGGAGGATGCTAGTTTGTGTCCTCCCGTTACCCTTAGGAGAACTATGGGGAAAAGCCCTGACCCCATAGTTCTCCTTTAAAGTTTGCATGTATTTATTTAGGTATTAAGGTTTTATTTATATATTTACTTTTGTAACTAAAGTTTGCTAAACTTTGTAGAGATACAATTTTTTAGTCATTGTATTCATTAATTTGGTCATTTTTGCTGTTAAAGTGACATTAAACCCTCAGATTTTTTAACATAAACCAATACTGTAATGTGTGCCTTACTGTAATCCATGGTAGTTTCCCTTCTCTTTGCTGCTCTTCCTTTTAAATCCTTATGTCTTCTCATGCTGGGGGAGAATTTCCCTTTGCAGCTGAGTGCCTCTTCCTGTAGTGGTGGCTCAGGTTACAAACGTACACACAGACACCATGGGGGTGATTTACTAACCTAAACACACGCACGCACCAGGTGCGTCTGATTTTCACACAGCAAAACGTATTTATCAACCAAAAAGTCTCTAAAAGCATATTTCCACTAATGCCATATATGGAAAAATCATGCACATGATGCATATATAATGCTGCTTCACAGTTTAGACAAAAATGGTTAGCTCATGCATTTACATTCCTGCATTCATCAACGCAAGCAACACAACATAGAGCTAATTTACACAACATCACCTTGCAATTCATGCATGGCTTTGCACAACACACCTGCTGGGTGTGTACACACTACAAAGGTGTTTAGATTCCACCCATAGATCATGCTGGGAGGGAACACACTACAGAGGTGTATACATGTTCGTGGTGTGTTTATAAGGTTAGTAAATCAACCCCCATGTATCCATTTCAGAGACAAGGCAGTCTGCTGCAGAACAGAAGTTCTGCCCAGCATGAGAACAGATACAGATTTAAAAGGAAGAGCAGCAAAGAGAAGGGAAACAACCATGGATTACAGTAAGGCACACATTACAGTATTGTTTTATGTTAAAAAATCTGTCACTTTAACTGAACAAAAAGATCTCAAACAAATTTTTATACAGCAAAGCATACCCAGGTCATTGATAGGCTGGCATAGTTCACAGTAGTTAAAAGGCAGATTTATTGCCATTCTGAACGTGTAAGCCCTTCTTGTGGGTTTCCTCTCTGAAACGAGTAACACGACTGAGACACTGAGATTACTGATACAATGGCTGCTGTGAGTAAAATGAGGGCTCTCAGTGTCACCGCTTTTCTAGCTATTAATCACAACTGAAAAAGAAAGTAGAATTGGCTGATTTACCATAAAATGATGTGGAAAAAACAGATTCTACTTTGAGAGAATGAGTTCACCCATCTACAGATATCACAGTCAATCCAAATTGACTTAAAGAACTCATTTTAAAATGGATATTAAATGTTGCCTTTCTTGATTGTATATTTTATTAATTGAGCTGTACACAGTCATAATACTATTCTGTGCAGCACACCTCCCCTCGGTTCCTTGCTGGATTTGTCTACAGATATTTTATAAGAAATAAAATGCTATACAGTGTTCAGTCACCAAAAGCAACTGATTAAAGAGTAGCTTTCACTAGAGCAGATAGCATTCTAATACCTGGAATCTGGCTGTTACTGCACACTACTAGTTCATATATTAGCTAAAAAGACCAAAAGTTTTTTTGTAAATTAATCTAAACTTAAAGTACAAGTTCACTTTTTGTACTTCCCCCACCCACCTGTGCAGCCACCACTGTAACACAGAGGATCCAGCACTACATTGTGCCAGATCCCATGTGTAACTGGTATTTCAACTGGCCTCTGGCTCACAGAGCAGATCAGAGAATGGATGTTCTCCAGTCTGTTCCCAGTCTCCATCCTGACACTAATTGCCATGACCCTGGGTCCCCCAGAGAAGTGGGGTACCCCAAAAACCACAGCAGACATTGTACCAGTCCAGGACAGAAAAATATGAGCTGAGTATATGTCAGTTGTACTCAGAAAAACATACACACTGAGAGAATAGCCACACTAGAACAGAAAGAAGTAAAAGGTCATGAATCACTGGAAACATTTCCTATTATATGTTTGAAAGTCCCTACTACTTCAAACCACAATAGCTAATGCTACTGAAGAAGAATCCTTTTTCTGATGCAGTTCTTTGAAGAACGAGTAATACTTGAAAGTACAACCTAATGGGAACCAGTAGCAATATAAATTGTTCTCAGCAGGATTTCATAAGTCTGGCAATGCAGAGCTAGCTTTCAAGAAAGTGGGCTACAGCCAATAGAAGATAGCCAGTTTGAAATTCACGATCTGGCCACCAAACTTATGTTTTGTGCTGACAGTTGTAAACAACCACATTTATTTTGCCCATGCAGATTGATGTTTAGTGATACCAATTGATTCAAACTTTTTCCAAGTTAACTATGTCTTTATTCAACCTCAAATACTATGTAACTATGTAATGATAAAAAACTCAGAAAATGTATCCTGGCCATTCAACTTTTCCCTTACAGCCTGTGAAATCTAAAGTTGAAAGCTACTCAAAGGCATATGTACAGTCAACTGATACTTGATCCTATTAATTATTCTTAATCTCCTTAGCAGAGCCTGCTGGAGTGTTCAGACAGACATTGAATGCAAAAAGAGTTTTCAATTTTGCTGTTTGCCAAGGTGGCCTTTTGCCCATGCTTCACATATTCTCCTAACAGTGGGCCATCTTGGGATCCACAACAGATGAATGGCCAGGTGGGTCCTGAAATCTGCTTCCAATGTTTGGGTCAATAAAGTTTGAAATCTTTCCTGGCAAATGCAAAAATCTAAAATATGTTCTAAACCATTTGTCTCATTACACTTACTCAGATCCAGGAGTTGGAAGGTGCATGTCAAAAACTCTAACCAAGTACCTCCTTTTTGACATTCGTCCTAACAAACCGTTAGTTTCTCATTTGCCTTGAGCCATTTACATTTGTATTAGGGCTGTTTTTAGATTTCATGTCTCATATATGACAGATGATCTGGTTTTGTCCGTGCTCCAGTCCTTTAATCATTAGATGTTACATGACTGCTATTGTAAAACTTAGAGGGTTACAGGATGTTCTGTGACTCTTCTGAGCAGTCTCCACATTTATCTCCCCCCATTAACTTTGCTTCTAAATTCAGTCAAAAGTGTCCAGCCAATGGGAAAATAATTTTTAAAAAGAACAGTATTTACAGACTGTACTGCCTGCCCAGGAACTGACCCACAAATGTCTTATGTTAGGTACAACTCAGTTGCCAGCCAAAGGGATGCCAGTCTATTTTACTGCAACCCACACTAGAATTGGCACTTAGGAAATTAATAAAAAAAAGTAAGTTTCATTTAAATGCATAACACAATAATAGATGTTCTTCAGGCTAATTTTACTGACCAATGTAATGTGACTGCAGTGTATGCCAAAATAATTCTCATGGTGAACTGACTTGAACATCAGGAAGTTACTACTTAAAAATATGGGTACAAATGTCAGTGACATTTATAGGTATTACTAATCATAGTGTGTCAGGGCAACTCTATGCTGAATTCAGCAGTCCTAGCCTGTCACAAGCTATATTTATGAGATGAGAAGCAGTGGTGCATTACATTTCACAGAACATTGTACAATCATCACTGAGCGCTCTCTATAAAATAATACAGGGTCTCACTTTCCAGTCTTTCAAACACTGACCTCAGGAAAGGTAACCATAGGGAACATAACAGAATATCATCATAAAAAAGACACATAACAAAACTGAAGTGTATGTGGCTTTTTA